ACGACATTCGTTTATAACGACACTATGTTTAGGTCCCTTTGATGACGTTATAACCAAGTTCTACTGTATTTTTAAATAACGAAATCGCTATTTGAAAAATTCCAAAAAATTATATTATGTTTACAGTTGTTTACAGTTCATTATTATAAATGTCTGTTTACATTTTGTCAAGCTGTTTCTTTTTCCCAGCTCTCCATATCCAGTGTCTAGTAGTTGACCTTGGTGTGGTATTGCTCAAAAAGGGGTCTAGGCAGAGAGACGGTGCCCTGGGTAGTTTTTACACCTGTATCTGGTTTCTTTTCTCTTTCCGTTTTGTGTACACACCACACACCTTCTTCTTCCAACTTTATAAGTTTTGGTTTTGGGATTTTCTTGAATGAAATGCTGACCCGTCACTCTCGTACATTCCATGTCGGTATTTGAAGGACTCCCTTTGCGCTTTTCTAAATTCTCTCCATGGGACTTTGCTATGATCTTATTCACTAAGTTTATTCTGAATAACTGATGATCTTTCTTGTTACCAGCCTTACAGTACAGAATGTAAACATTCAACACTGCCATATTTACTAAGTGGTTGAATAATTTCTTGTACCACGCTTTTTGCCTTTTCCTTTCTAGCAAGAATGTTTCTAGTAGCTGATCTTTCAAGTCTACACCTCCCATATATTTATTATACTCTATCACACACATAGGTTTATTTACAAATTCTAACCCACTCTTTCGACTTATGAGCTGCATTTCATCTGAATGTTTAGTAGTCAGCACTGAGACATCGCGCTTTTCCTTCCACTTCAACGCCATCAATTTCCCACACTTTGCACTAACTACTTCTCCTTTCTTCACTTTCTTTTTTAGATCTATTGGCATAACTTTGCATGTGATACCCACTGCTCCAACAGCATCTGTTGTCCTCTGAACTAATCTCTGGAAAAGATCGGTACTGCTATAAGAATTGTCCATATAAACACATCTGCCCAAGTCTAATAGTTTCTCGCACTAACTTAGAACAACTTTTGTTGAGAAAAGATCTGTGTCTTTGGTGATTTCACAGCCTAATTTTATCCCTGATCCATTGTAAATTATAAAATTCCACAAATATCCTGCAGAATCACAAAGTTCAAAAATTTTAATCCCAAACCGGGAAGCTTTCATAGGAATATACTCTTTCCACGAAAGTCTACCGTTCCACAATAACAAAGATTCATCGTCACTTACTTCTTTGCCCGGTATGTACACTTTCTGGAACTTATTTTTCAAATATTCACTTACCAGAAGAATATTATATAATTTAGGATCTCTTTTTGCAGTTTCCTTATTGGTGTTATCTACAAAATGGAGAAATCTGGTCAGCAATGAAAAACTTTCTTCACTCATTACATTGGGAAAAAATGGTGTTTCTAACATATGTTTCCTACTAAAATACATCCTGAGGTTTGGTTTCTGAATTATTCCCATCAGCATAAGCAAACCTAGGAATACCCTAATTTCATTCGAAGTTGTGGGAACCCAGTTTTGAAAGCGAGATTTTATTTGCATCAGGGGCAAGAAACTGCCCCCCCAGACAAGTTACATGACCAAATGCCATGGGACTCCGATAAGAGAGTGGTCGCTAGGCAGAAAAGGAATAACAAATTCATAAATGTTGACACAGGTGTCAGGCAACTTCGACCCCTAGGTTTGTAACATCGTAAATCAGACACAGCTTCTTTGTCGCCAGTAAGCCAAGTCAGTAAAAAAAATACACACACAGATAACAAGCACTCAATGAAAGTTAGCTAACAAATTATCTCTCTGAAAGCAAGCCAGAGTGTGAGTTGGAACAAGTAAAAAGAATAAAGAAGAGTAAAAGAATAAAAAGAGTAAAAAGAATACCACACACAAACAGATAGCAAGTAATGAAAGAAGTCAGTATTAGCTGACACATGCATTCACTGGAAGTACATACATCAGAGCATAGGTGTTAAGAATTCTTAGTAAAAAGTTTGGACGCAACATATGCGGCGCGCACACTTACAGCACGGGTTTGAGCAGACGCAGATGGTGCGTCGCGCATGCTTAGGGATTTAAATGACTCCGCTTAAAGTCACGCTCAAGGGGTTAATCGCATATTCATAGCCTTATTTACCTACTCCTTTAACATAAAGGCGTGAGGTCGCAGGTTCAATTTCCAGTGAGGTGGATATTTTCAATTGACTAGTCCTTCCAGCCACATTATGGCCCTGGGGTCGACTGAGCCTCTAACAGAAATGAGTACCAGGAATCTTACTGGGGGTAAAGGACAACCGGCAGGTGTGAGCTGACTGTCTAGAAAATGTTGGAGTCTTGACATTCACAAGCATATGGGCCTCCATAGCCTGTTACAGGGATAGTTTTTTTTTTTCTTTTTCTTCTTTCCCCTTTTCCTTCCCCCCTGCCACCCATGAAGGAGAGGGGGGAAGGATGGAGGTAAGAGAGGAATTACAGTAGGGCTGGGTTCTAAAGGAATATGGGAGAAAGGAGACAAAGGTGCACAGTCTGTACAACAAATTTACATCAGATTAGAATTAGCGTCCATTGTCTATCCTCCGTCAAAATTGCAACACTTGCAATGGGATGCTGAAGTACAGAATCAGATTAGAACTTTAAATGGGCTGTATGCTAGATTTATTATAAAAGGTGCTCAAATGCAGTCTTTTTAGACTGGATAATTAAGTAGCACAAGCAGTTTGTTTCCTGTGGCAACACTGTAGCAGTCGGAGTATCTTGCAGTGATCTTATTTTCATTTTACAGGTACATATGAACTATACTGAAAATAGTGAGGTCAGAGGTTGCAAGATCAACACCACAAACCTGGAGTTCAGCGAAAAGTTCAAGTGCACTGGCGAGGAATTCTACAATGCAATGACAGTGACAGAGGTAAGATCTTTGGTGTGGCATGTCAGCAAGTCAGGTGGACTGAACAGAATAGATTGGTCAGGACATTTCATGGGGCAAGATACGAGTGTCTGTTAAAATTGCTCTGTCTGTCCATCTGCATGCATAAAACTATTCAAGAATCACTGAATGGCTTTTTGTTAAGCATGATATATTAAGGTTGTACTCAAATTCATCAGTACATTTCAATTTTGGTTATAACTGAACAGTAACTGATACTCCGTGTGAAGAACTGTATGTGTTTTTGTGTACACCTGGAGTGTAACTAGCTAAATATTTATTGAGACAAAAAATGTTTCAAATGGAAGTTGGTGGACAAAATGAGCCACACATATAGCACAGTAATGCCACTCTTTATTTTCCCAGTGTGTCCAAAAAATCTGTTGAATTGAATTTATTTACATTCTATAAATCCTAAGTAGGTTAGTACCTTTGGATACAGAACAAGTCAAAAGGTTACGTACATAAGTACAGGCAATTTTAGCTTAAAAATTAATATAACTTAATTTTACATCATTCTCTATTTACATTGAAGTATTCATCTAAAGAGTAGAAGGAATGAGCATGTAGATAATTCTTTAACTCTGATTTAAACTTTTTAGTATCATTGCCCAAGTTTTTAATACTTTGTGGCAGATTGTTGAACACTTTTATGCCAGTAAAGTAGACTCCTTTTTGATATACTGATAAAGTTGATGAGGGTAGGTGGAAGTTATATTTTTGTCTAGTATTCATGTTATGGACATCAGAATTTAATTTGAATTTATCTTTGTTGTAAACAACAAATAAGAGAAGCGATAATATGTATTGCGATTGAAGAGGTAGAATTTTTAATTTCTTAAATAATTCTCTACATGAATCTCTACTTCTACATCCTGTAATGATTCTAATTATATTCTTTTGTATTTTAAAAATTATTACACTATGTGAAGAGTTCCCCCAAAATATTAATCCATAGTTCATAATAGAATGAAAGTAGGCATGGTAAACCATCTTCAATGTTTCCTGTGACATAAAAGGCTTAATTGATCTCATTGCATAGCAAGCTGCATTTATAAAGTCAATAGAAAGTCCGTCNCACAATATCCCAGGTGGTTTTAATTTTATTGTTTGATTTTAGAATTTGGCTGTTATAGTTATTCTGTTTGGCTTCTATAATGACTTTTGACAAAATTTTACAGTACATTTTGTAGTGACTTTTTAGTCTTGGATCAATACTGTCCCTACTGGCCAAATATAGTTGACTTTTGTGTTTACATGAAGTTTTTATTCCAATTGTTATCCAGGTGGATTTGTTTTTATTTTCATTTTTTACTAATTTTTAAGGGAAAGCTTGAATAAAAGATCCTCAAGTATGTGTTCAGAAAGCAATTAAATTTAGAATCAATATTATTGCTGTCAAATACATTTTCCCATGATTCATTCACATGTTGAATATTGGATTCAAGCCTCAAGCTGGGGACTTCAGGCAGGTTTACATAGACTTCAGCAGGAAGGAGTAATTTTAACTTAATCTTTGTCTGTTCACAGATGGTGCAGGCATTTACACATGGTCCAGCAAAAGTAGAAGCACAGAAAGATGGAAAGTTTGAACTGTTTGGTGGAAATATATGTGGAGTCTTTGTAGAACTGGTAAGAAAGGGATCAGAATTGTGTGGTATGAGACACAAAATACAGTCATTTGGGACAAAGGAAGTTGGCTCGGGTGGTGACATTTCCGATCATATTATGAAGTGCCTAGCTTAAATCTAAGCAGGGAGACTGAGCATCCTGTCTCCCCCCCCAGTTTTCCTAAGTCCTTCCAGGCAAATTCTGGTGTAGTACCTCTTTACCTCAAATTAGGCCACAACTTTGTTCTGCATCCTTCCCCTTCCCAATTAGTTATTCACTGATCCCCCATTGCGACACTGTCTTGACAGGTTGGAAGAATCCAAGTATATGCTGGGATAGTACTTCAAATGTGGCCACTGCTTCTATTTTGACCTCCTTTCAAGTTCATTATTCACTAGTCATATTGCCATTCAGTTCTGTATGGTCTGAGTTACCGACCGTGGCTGTGATATAAACCAAAATAAACAAGCAGAAGTCTCGATATTGTACATGTATATTATTGACATAGGGGGAATACAGATAAAGGAATTTATTTAGTTATGAAAATTGCCACCTTTTATGATGTGATACTCTGTAGTCTGGTAGATACTTTCCTGCTGCCTCCCTCTTCAGGGTATATCTTGCCTGGTCAGGGAACCATGATATTGAACAGTATGCTTTTGAATGTTGACAATACCCTACAGCTTCCAGAGGGACAAAGATGTGACGGAAGAGGTTGTGTGTACAGTCTGTCCAAGTATCAGCTTTTGTCACTAGAAGGGAAGAGTTTTCCAAGCTTTCTGCCAGCATTCCCTGGCCCAAATGGGATACAGAAGAGTAAGTCGTGCAGGAAAAGTGATGCAGTAAGGGGAGTCTGCATCCAAGGCTGTTGCCAACATTGAATGTCTGGATACATTGAAACTATCTGTAGAAGATATTGAAGTTTTTTCTTTTCTGTTTCTGTGTGATAGGTTCCCAACAAGAAGATTGTTCAAAGATGGCGGTCTGAGAGATGGCCTCCTGAACATTATTCGAACGTTACTTTTAACATACATCAGAAAGAAGATCACACAGAGGTGAATGTTGTGCAGACTGGTGTTCCCCAAAGGTATGCCAGATTTACATTGTTTTAAATTTATAATGATTGCAAGATGCCAGCTGAGTGATGGATTATCACACTGAAGAACATCTGTAAGATTGTGGTGATGTGAAATTGCTTCCACTCAAGTTTGCCCTGTGCCTTATGTAGTTTATATTATTAATTATCATTATTAATCTCAGATGGGCCATCAAATGTCCTGACATGTTTTTCTTCAGTCACTCCAGGCAGGAAGTGGAATAGCATCTGAAATTAGGCCAATAATTCTTCCTTCCACATCCTCTCTGATTCATTATTCACTATCATCCAGTCATTAAATGCTTCATGAATATGAGTTGCTATGTAGTTAAATGAACTACTCGTACAAGAGCAGCAACAATAATACATTGGAGTGTCATTGTCATCATTGACAAATCGCTGTAGAATGAAGCTAACTGCTCACCTCTTTGCCTGGGGCTAAGATGAAGATCATAGACATGTATCTCAATGCACCCTATTCATTTTCATGCATCTTGGACAGGTCAACTTGCCTCATCATGCAGCCAGTCAGTTGCATTTCATTCTCTTGCTATTTCCAGTTCAATATTTCTACTTTTATATCAACTGAGCCTCTGTCTCTGACCAAAGCTTCTGCTCAGTTTCCTTCCATGTTCTGTTTGACATCTTGATTTGGGTGTTCCTCTGTCTTTTAGTTTTATGTTCAAAGCCTTTTTGGGAATTGTACCATGTTCATTCCTACAACTTTCTCATAGGAGCTTATTCTGTTTTTTGTTAATGTGTTTTCTAGTGTATTCATTTTTAATTCTTTAATTTTCAGTGAAGCGGATTCAACGAAGGAAAATTGGAACCGGTACTACTGGGAAGCAATAAAGAGAACATTCAGTTTTGGTTCATTCTTTGTGTGATGGCAGTTGGATCGTAATTCTGCACCTTTATCTGACTATAGGAATGAAGTATGATAACAGAGAAATAAAATATTTATTATTGCCAATGAAAACGATTGAGGAAGTTTTTCAAAACTTTTGTATTATGCTGTAGTGTGACATGGGTGACAAGTAAAACAAATGAAGTGATGATGGTTGCAGAGCAGGTATTTCCTTTGCCGAGAAGTTAAGGCTTCTGTGTATATTTCACCTCTTCACTGCAGTTTGTTTGTTAAACAGAGCTTCAGCAGAAGTCTGTCTTATAGCAGAAAATTTGTAATCTCGTGACTACTGTAATTTTAATTTAATCATTCATCTGTTGATATCAAAGGCCACAGACTTGGCTCTTGATGACAATTGCTGTAGGAATTGTTTTGTTTCCTTAGGAGTAGCAGGGCACAATATGGCAAGTAACTGTAGAAAAGTTTCATCTCCTTTAGTACGTTTGTATGTACTGTATATAGAGTATGGTTGTATGCACATGTATGTATGAGTGATGTATTAAAGTTTGCATGACCCTTCCTCATTTATTCCTCAGAATGTGGGACCAACTGTCTGTCATTTTCATGCTTGGTACAGTGGATTGCAGTTGTGTTATTTATTGAATAGTTCACCTAGCACTGAATCCTATGAATTTTAATACATTGTTGGCTGTGGAGGATGTTGGTTGCTGTGCAGAACACTTGCCCAGCTGTGATGGCAGTCATGTCTCCTGCAGACCCTTTGCCTCAAGCTTCAGTAGTCACCAGTGTCTCCTGCAGACCCCTTCAAGCCATGGCATTTGCTGGTGTCTCCTTCAGACCCTTCTGTTCATGCTACAAGTCACCAGTGTCTCCTGCAGACCCCTTGCTTCAGGCCATGGCAGCTGCTGGTGTTTCCTGGAGACCATTTTTCTTCATGCTACAACAGTCGCCAATGTCTCCTGCAGGCCCCTTGCTTCAAGCCATGACAGTTGCTGGTGTCTCCTTCAGACCCTTTTGTTCATGCTACAAGTCACCAGTGTCTCTTGCAGACCCCTTGCTTCAGGCCATGGCAGCTGCTGGTGTCTCCTGGAGACCCTTTTTCTTCATGCTACAACAACAGTCACCAATGTCTCCTGCAGGCCCCTTGCTTCAAGCCATGACAGTTGCTGGTGTCTCCTGCAGACCCTTTTCTTCATGCTACAACTGTCACCAGTGTCTCCTGTGGACCCCTTGCCTCATGCAATGATGGTTGCTGATATCTCCTGCAGACCGTTTTGCCAGTGCCACAACAGTCACCAATGTCTCCTGCAGATCCCTTGTCTCATGCCATGGCACTTACCAGGATCCACCATCTTATGTCTCAGTATGCTTTATTATAACAACCATGTGCAAGCATTTTAAGGGAGTTCGTCTGCTGTGGAGTGTGGGAACCATCACACCTGCCACTGTTTGTAGAGGGCAACCCAACACTTGCCAATGGCTGTGATGGTTCACAGTAGTGCAAAAGTGACACATCTAAACACACTGGCTGGAGAAAGAGACTGTAAAAAGTCATGACAGCTTCCAACTCGTTAACCAAAACTAATGCCTTCCTCATTACAGTAAGCTTGTTTAGATAGTGGTAACATGCATTACTGTGAAAGTTATTGTCTCAAGATCGAATGCTTTCTAAATATGTACTTTTGAGATACAAAGATTGCATGTTTGTGGTATGTTCTTCACAATTATGCAAAGTGAAGTCGTGTCATATCTTGCCAGATAGAAGCCAAATAAAGAAGGGGAATTTGCACTTTCTTACAACAGTAAGGCCTGAAAGCATGAAATAGTAATCTGACATTTTACCCACATTCTCTGCCTTGTAGATGTAGAATGCATTGTATTGCCAGGATAGCTACAGACACTGGTGACATGAAGAGGGAAAAGGGTTTGTATCTGTTGGTTGTGGAAGCTTCGTACTCATACCATGAAGGAACAAATGAAGGTTCGAAGAACAACACATCCTTCCTTTGGATTTGACCCTGATATCCAGTGGTCCTAAAAAGGCCCTTCCTGTCTAGTGGCTGTATGCGGGGATTTCATATAGGCCCTAAAAAGAACGTTTTGTGTTCCATGTTCTCATTGGCTCAGACAAGACTGGGAAATGCTGTTGTGCTAATTAGTTCGATCCATGTTATTCTCCTTACATAATTCTAGCCCTTAGCATCCATCACTTTGATCCTCAGGATTCAGGATGCAGGTGGCAGGCTTAAAACTGATATCTAGCTACAAGATTACACAGCGTTACATTCCCAGAAAGCACAGTTTTCTCTCATATTTTCAGAATGATTCTTGCTTCTTAATGTGGCATTTACTTGCTTACTTATGGAGCTGAGCCCTTCTGGAGGAGCTGCCAATTCTGCAGCTACTCAGGAATGTCCCAGCATTTTATGGAACCCGAAGGTTCATTACCGTGTTCACCCCTCCACTGGTCCCTATCCTGTGCCAGATCTATCCAATCCATCCCATTTTATCTCTCTAAGATCCACTCTAATATTGTCCACCCACCTATGCATTGGTCTTCCCTATGGTCTCTTTCCTTCTGGCTTTCCAACCAATATCCTATACACATTCCTTGTCCCCCCCATTTGTGCCACATGACCTGTCCACCTCATCCTCCTTGACTTGATCATTCTAATTACACTTGAAGAAGAGTACAAGTTATGAAGCTCCTCATCATGCAGTTTTCTCCAACCCAACTTCTCTCTCTTTGGTCCAAATATTCTCCTCAACACCCTGTTCTCAAACACCCTCAGTCTATGTTCCTGCCTTAATGTCAGAGACCAAGTTTCACACCCATACAGAGCCACAGGCAAAATTATACTTTTGTATTCTTAATGTGGAAAATGATTATTAAACTTTTTTATATCCTAACATCTTCAGTTAAGATGTGGTCAGAATATGTTTTTTTTTTAATAAAATGTAAGTAGTACTAACTCCATGGGTGTTGAATCTTTGGGGAGCCACCAGTCATTCAGATATTCAAGAATTTCCAACCATATTATGCAACCCAGAGGTTTATCACTCATGTACACAAGAGTGATGCTGATCCCTATCCTAAGCCTGATTAATCCAGTCCATACAATCCAGGTCTGTCCATAAAATCCATTTTAATATTCTCCTATCAACTCCTGGGTCGTCCTAGTTGTCTCTTTTGTGCTTTCCCAATAAAACCCTCCATGCATTCCTTTTCCCTCCCATGCATGCTACATTCTGTTCCCATCTCATCCATGACTTAATAATTTTAATTAAATATGGAGAAAAGCCCAAGCTGTGGAGCTTGTTACTGAACTCTTTCCAGCATTCTATTTTTTCATCCCTCTTTGGTTGAAACGTTCTCTGCACGTACAATATGTATATTACGTCAAAGTAAATTGTGGTGATGGTCACTCGATGCATATATATGTGACGCAAAAATTTAAGATCTCAGAGAGAGTTGTTAATTGACAGAAAGTCAATGTAAGCATTCTTTTACAGTTATACACATTTGGTATATGGAAGTTTTGCCATATATGTATCAATTGCATGAGTCCATAAATCTTCTCAGTCATTTGAACGATGTGTATGTATATCCTGTGTTAATAGCACATACTTTGCTGACAGCAGGGAAGTAGCAACGTAACAGTGTATGTCTGCACAAAGCAAAATTAAACCCTCTTAAGCTAATAGAAGTTAAAAGCATTTGAAGTGATAAGTTTGTTACTTGTGTGGATACAGCTGAACATTCAAGGCACTCTGATTTGGCACAGTTATTCAGAATGAATTTCTTCATATTCCATCATTGTGGTTGTGAAAAGTAAAATTAATTCAAAATAATTATTTCTAATATGAAAGCATGAAAAGCTCTGCAATAAACCTTATGTCCAAGTGGACATAGAAAAGTGGATATGATTTAATGAAGAGGTTTTCAAGTGTAAAATAACAATACCTACTCTCATAATAGTGTCACTGTCTATTATCAGAGGTTGGAAGTTGTCTGTAAATGCATTTAATATACAAATTATTATTCAGAAATTAAAAAGCAAATAACTTGGATTTACTGAATTGTTTTAACCCTTCAGCACTGGAGAATTTTATTTGGTTTAAGTAACCTGAAGTTGGAAGATATGGGGCTCTGAATTTACACCAAATTGCTTCTGGGAACTTAAATTACTGTAGATCTTTCTTTAGTTCTATCCTGTCTCTTTTTTTTAATTGAAAAAATATTTTTAAACAGTGACAGTTTATATTGTAAACCTGAGAGCTGAACTTATTAAAATGTTTAAACCTGGAAGTGGCATACCAATTTCCAAAACTGAGGTACTTGAATGTACAGGGTGATGTAATAGTAACACAGCAATTTGAAGTCTGTGTGATCAGATTTGCAAGGCAATTTGTACATCAGTAAGTTATGTTGTTACCTTGTTTTCATACTTATGTGCTAATTGCTTCACATATTCATCATAGACCACTTTGCATGGTAGCTCACCACTGTAGGTCATGGTGCAAGGGCTGAGAATGCCCACCCCTTATACATTCATACAGTGTTACTTTAAACTGTAGTGATACACCACTTTGTATAGTCACATAAGGAAAATTTTTGGTAAACTTGGTAATTTTATATTTGTGATTGTTATATTGTGATATTCACAGAATAAAAGGTGATAAAGGATTTGAAACCTGAGCAAGCAGAGAGTAACAGATGTGTAATGTATTTAAATTAAAAAGACATGAAGAAGGAAGAACAGAAGTTAAATGATGATATAATCTACATAAATGATGGTGCGATTTTGTGATACATTTTGGAAGTTTTGGTAGGTGTGTCATGTCAGTATTCCCTTTAATTCTTTAAAGCCAAGTGATTATTGTAACTTGAAGATCTGAGAGCTTAGTATTTTGCCCTAACAAAGTGTATTTGTGTGCTTTATACAATTTTTCACAGTAACCATTAATTATTTCTCTAAACAGCATCAGATGTTAGTATTGGTATTGGAGACACAGTGTGATTCCTCTGAGATAGGAACTGAATTTTTTATTTCAAATGATTAATGCCTAGTGAAAGTTGTAATGAACATCAGGGTCAATTTTGTATAATTTTATGTTATTTAATTATTACAATTAGTAATTTTTAAATACTCATTTTGAAATGCATGTACTGTTTTCTTTGTATGGTGAAGATGAGTTTAAAAGCGTATGATACATGTTAATTTAACGGGCCACTTGCTTCTTTCCTCAGGAACACTCAATATAATTCTTAATAAATTTTATTTTGCAATTCCGTTTAAGATAAAAACACAGTAATTAAACAGTATCCATCTTGTAATGTTGTGCACTCAACGTTGACTTTCCTTAATCCTATACTTCTGTTTGATTTTCTGATTGTGGTTAAACCCTTTTATGGGGTCCCCTTTTGTACCCACAGTTTTCTTGTGCTGCACGGCAGGCTTCACACTTTTCATCATCTGTGGGTGTCAAAACAATATTATTATAGATGTACGCATACTTTTAACACACACATTGCTTGTCTGCACCTGCTAGCCCACTTTCAGTAATCTAATGAATGCAAACTTTGTGAGTTAATTTTAAATAGTAACCGGTTAAGACTAAACCTCATATCCACATAAGCATATTATCAGTACTCACAGACATGATACACTGACACAAAAGACTGCTTCTTCATTCATGAACTACAACATAACTTATGTTCATGCAGTGTGTTAATGCTTGACAGTCTGTTGGTATGGTAACCCAAAATTGCATTATGACATCTTACACAGAATTGTTATTTATATGTATAGAAAGAGATAATCTAGGAAACATTTTCATAAAGTTTTATATCTATATAAATAAAAATGTAACTGTTGGTTTGGCTCTCCTCGAAGATCTCCAAAAGTTCTTCACCAATTGCTTCGAAATTTTGACACGATGTTGCATTTGAACACGCGCGTGTTTTTATATGCCTATTATGTAGATGTCTCACCCGTGACAGGTAAAAACAGGTAAAAGTATTAATTGTATTCAATATTAATATACTGTAATGTGTTGTACGTCGAATACCAACAGATCATTGCCTAGGAATAACCGTGGCAACGAACTGTTGAAACAGCGGGTCGTTGCCTAGGGATATCTGTGGCAACAAACTGTTGAAACAGCGGGTCGTTGCCTTGGACGAACCGTGGCAACGAACTGTTGAAACAGCAGGTCGTTGCCTTGGAATAACCGTCACAATGAACTGTTGAAACAGCACATTGTTGCCTTGGAATAACCATGGCAACGAACTGTTGAAACAGCAGAAATAATGCATTTCTGCGGCAATGAGCACAGAACACGTGAAATGGAACCCTCGGCAAAAGTGCCCTCTACTGTGTCCGAAACCGCGTTATAGTAGTCCAGCTCCGAAGAAATTTTGGGTGATACTGGACGTGATAATAATTGTGCTCGCTGGTGTAAAAGTGAGCATTCAATAACGTATTCACTGAATCCGAGACATGTGTGGAAGTTATTTCGTAAGTATAGTTTATTTTTCATTGTTTTTCTTTTCGTTTTCCAAGAACAAGCTTAGGTCGTCATACTCGAAGAGCGGAAGCAATGCGTCGAGTAATTTCAAATCAAACTGGGGAAGAATGGGCAGACTGAGCCACAGCAAGACGTGGCCGGGCACAGCTAGTATCCAATATAAACTGTTTTTAAAAGGTGTTTTGGTTGTGTGACATGCATAGAAAGATGTTGACAGTAGTGTATAGTGTTGAGAGTGCTGTTAATATTGTACTTACTGCTTTTCCAGTTGGATTCTGGACAGTTCTGAAAAAGAATTCATTCAGTTTTATTATCTTATTGTTTTGGAATGATCAATTGAAGGATGTGATGGACAGTGCATGTAACACCAATGGAAGACAGAAAACATGAACACTAAATTTGTTTGAAAATCTGAAGAGAAAGAGACCAGTTGTAAAACTAGGTTATAGAAGGGAGGATAATATTAAATTTTATTTTAGAAAAATATGTGAAATGTGGACTCAGTTCACCTGACTTATGGTAGAGTCCAGTAAGTGACTCTCATGTGGCCGCACCATGGCTCAAGCAGTTACTCGCTGGCTTCCCACTGTTGCGGCCCGGGTTCGATCCTGGGTCTGTTCAAGTGGGATTTGAGGTGGACAAAGTGGTGCTGGGGCGTGTTTTCTCCAAGTACTTTGGTTTCACCTGCCAATCTTCATTCCACAAAATTCTCCGTCATCATAATCACCCAGGGCAGGCTACAAATAGGCCAATCAGTGGCTGCCGTGCCAAGTGGACCCAGTTGGACTCCACCCCCACTATGTGAATTAAAAAAAAAAGTGACCCCCCATGAGTATGCCACTGAACTTGTAGTCACCATCATAATGAGGTTATGCAGTCATATACTTTAATTTTTATTTATTTTAAGATAACTTAGTTTTGTGCTTGAATACTTATAGGTAACATATTACAGTTTCATGCTTGTGAAATTCCAAAGACAAACCATTTTAGTACATTACTCTAGTTTCATTTTTACAGCCTGCCCAGCAGGAATTTTGTTATGAAGGTGATGTGTATAGAGATATTAATAAGTAACCACCACAAACAAAAATAATTTCTGAAACGACACTGCAGGTTTTTCTGCAGTGGCATGCTAGTAATAATATACTGGATCTCAGAAAAATCTCTTGAGGCTGAGAATGGGACTGAACAGGGGATCAGTATTAAAACATAAATTTCTAGTAAGCAAATTTTCATTTAGGAAGAGTACTGGCATTCAGTGCATAGAAAGAAAGTATTGACAGCAAACAAGAGGAACCCTGCTGTCCCAGAGTCTCCCCTCAGGCATCTAGTCAAGGGTCTTTGTGTCTGAATCTGTTTTCAGGAACTGGTGACTAGTGCCTGCACTGTAGTTTGTCTGACAGGAGGTGGGGAAATCAAAGAGGATTGTACTGTCCATAGCAGGAAGAACAATGGCTATGTCCCTGCCTGTGTTCATCTGCTGTCTTTTCTGAAAACATTACATAAGATCCTGTGGGATATCTCCTGGTTATATTCTGAGAAAGCGCAGTAATTTGTGATGTCTTGATCAAACAGACTATCAAAAAAGAATGTTATAGACAACAAACTATAACTAATTCCATGAAGCTGAGCACTTCTTGAGTTTCTGAGCTACTCAAGAATTTCCCAACATTTTATGAAATCCAACATTTTGTCATCATGTTCACTGATGCCTATCCGAAGCCAAATTAATCCGGTCCATACTATCGCATACTATATAAACAACAAACTATAACTGAAAGAATTACAGCAAGAATAAATATTTTTAGATTACACTGCTGTGGCTGAATGAACTGGACAGCATGGTATATTGATTTCATCACAACCATATAGCAGCACTTTTTGAAACAGTTCATCCTTAAGTATTGAAATGTATTTGTGCACATCGCCATGAGTTCTCATTCTCTACCAGAAACAGGTTTTCAGTTTTATGCAGTCACTCACCACAAATATCTGTCTGTCCATACAGTGCAGCATCTCCATTGCACCAGATGTGCAGTTTTGCTGTTGGTTAACAGATGCAGCTGAAACAAAATTCACATTACTTTTTTTATTCGCATATGAGTGGCATATGAACCTTTCTTCCACTTTGAATACCTTTTCAGTCGAGTCTTTCGAATAAGATCTGGGTATGAAACTGCCAGTATGATAACAAGGTTACAGTCTTGTGGGAGGATGCCACTGTTTGGGAAGAACATGCTCTCTCATTTTCAAAATCAGCCTGTAGATGGCATCTGGTACATACCAGACTACATGTGTCACATCAGAAGAGAGTAATCTTGTTGCTTGTGATTTTAATCATAGGGATACTTACGGACAGAAGCAGAGCAGTTTTGGAGGGCTGCATCTAGAGCATCCTTCCAGGTGAAAGCATTTTTCTCTTCTACGTACTTATCTACATATGCTGCAAAGGCCTCTTGATCTACTGTGCCATCTTGTATCTGTTAAAAGAGAAAGCAGAAATTATTGTTTCCAGACACTGATGAGTATGGTGACTATGCTATGATTGGATAACTAGGGTTCAATTCCTAACCAGTACAGAGATTTGTCTCTGTAACATTGCATCAAGACTACATCTGGAGCCTACACAGCCTCCATTGGGTGACAGGAGTTCTTTCTAAAGCAAAATGTTTGATGTATGAAGCAGGCCACTTACCTTCACCTGTTACTGAGGTTTAGAATATGTGGAGCTATACCTTGATTCAACTCATTTCTATGGTATAGTGTTTAATTATGGACAGTGACAACTTTATATTGCTGTCTTGTATGAAGGAGAAAGGGATTTCAAGTTTAGAAGTATTGTGCTTAAAGAACCCCACAATGTAGGGTTCACCTTGGAAAGTTTCGCAGCTTGTAATGGGCCCAGCCGAGAAGGATCCTTTAGAGCCACCTAACATACAGTGATGGCAGCAGATCCAGCTTCCAAAATGTTGTGTATTATAAATGTACTTAAGTTGATGCATGGTGTCCAATGTAATATTTGTATAGTTACTCATCTGTTAAAGAAATTACATGAATTCGTTGAAGAGTGTTCACAAAAGCTTACCATTGGAGAATATCCTTATGATTCACAAACCCTCTTCACACTTTGTTTCTGTTAAGAGCCATTTTAATATTATCCTCAAGTGTCGTCTCTTGCCTTCAGATTCTTGGACCAGATTTCTTCATGCATTTCTGATTTCCCTTATGCATGATAAATATTCTGGTTGTATTGTCATTTTTCTTTTAAATTACCATAACCAATTCAAGTTACTGCAAGGAGCATAGTCCTTGAGAAGCCAATATTTACTCTACTAATCAATAAATGCCCCATCTATCATGGAACCCACAGATTGGTTGATTCGTTGGCTGGTTGATTAGTTACTTAGTTAATATCATGAGGCTCCTCATCATGTAATTTTTTCAGGTATGACAGTGAAGCCTTAACAAGGAAACAAAGAACTGATTGCCACTATATAAACACCTCTGAAAATGTTATTGTTATGCCACATTAACCAACCAACTTTATAATGAAGTGGTTCTTGACAATTTAAATTTGACACTCAGCTTGTCAAGATATCCTTGTTAAGTGGCTTTTTTTTTTCTTAAATTCACTTAATGGGGGGAGGAGTCCAACTGGGTCCACTTGGTACAGTGGCCACTGATTGGCCTATTGTACCTGCCCTGGGTGATTATGATGATGGAGAATTTGGTGAAATGAAGATTGGCAGGGGAAACCGAAGTACTCTGAGAAAATCCGCCACAGTGCCACTTTGTCCACAAATCCCACTTGACCAGACCCAGGATCGAACCCGGGCCGCCATGGTGGGAAGCCAGTGACTAACTGCTTGAGCTATGGCGCAGCCTGTTAAGTGGCTTACTTTATTCAGTTTTTCAGACCAAAAATTGTTCTTCACCTTTCCCCATGTATGCTACATGCTCCTGGATTTCACCACCCTAATAATATTTGGTATACAGAATAAGTTACAAAGCTCTTAATGCAGCTTCCTCTATCCTGTTTCTGACTCTACCAATATATATCGTTGCAATCACTTAACATTTAGTATGACTTGTCATCCAGTTTCGGTCCCCTTCACTTTAGGATACTGAAACAGCTCTGTATGCTAAGGTCTTAAGATGCCATGTAGTTCGATACAAGTACCAGTCTTTTGGAGGAGCCTGCTGCCTCTATCTTCAGGTACTTTTGCTTTGATGAAGGCAGTGTGTTCCTCTGAAACATTTGTACCTATCTTTTAAACTAGGTTGTGTCAAATCAGTTTAAATGTTCACAACCATGACAACCTCAAATCTGATATACTAAGATCTCTCTGTGACATTTTAAGTAGCATTTTCGTCTGAAAATTTATGAAGTTTGATGTTGACGTCTGAAAAGTGTGTGTGTGTGTGTCTTAAAAGTGGTGTGTAGGGGGCTACTCACCAGACTCTCCTTTTCAAAGGCACACTGCGTGGCACACTGTAACAGAGATGAATAAGAATGTTTATCTATATTTTGGTATTAAGGAATGTTAAATCTAAGTTTAAGGTACAAATAAATACTGTGGAGATTCTCTGAATGTTGGATGGTTCATAGATTATGTAATAACTAGTGTAACACCCATTACAAACATAACAGGAAGGTTTGAAACCTTTTGTACTCTTATCTCCTTCTCAGATATTCCTTTCTCATCCCCTTTAATTTTCAACATGGGGTCACATTTCAGAAGATAGTAATCTTCATAGTCACTGCAGTGAAAACCTCATGTGTCACCATTCATGTACTGCTTCAGTTGACCCTCACGGTTTCAGGGGTAAAACATTTTACTTTTTTGTGCAGGTACTTGGTTTGAATCTCAGATGATGCCAACTATTCTGAGTGAAGATATTCTTCAAAATCCTAGAAATATATTCACTTATATTAAAAAACACTTACTGCCATGATGTTTCTGTGAGCTCCAGGATGCCTGCCACCTGAAATATAGGTTAGGGTGAATAAAGTGATTGTCATAAAACAGTTTATGATGAAATGAGGATAAGAATAAATATGAAATGTCCCCTACTTTCAGGAAACGACACAAATTAGGACTGTTAGAAAATAAAGAACAAATTCCATGGAACAGAGATTTCCTGAAGAAGCTAACACTGAATCAGCTATTCTAGAAATTTCCAAATTTTTAAGGAACTTGAACGTTCATTACTGTTTTCAAAATAGGTTACCGTTGGTCTCTGTCCTGAGACAGTCTAGAATAGCTAACTGCTGACTCCATGGAACAGAGTCCTTGGGAAACTAACAGCCACAAAGCTGCTTAAGAAATCTTCTATATTTATGGAACCTGAAGGTTCATTGCAGTAGTCACACAAGTCAACATTCTGTGGGATTGTGTGAACAGTAGACATTAATTCAAAGTGTAGTAATCTATTGTCAGAATTATTTGGGACAACACTAAACGTAAACTTCAATATCCTAATTTATGGCAGTGACATCTAACCAGCAATAGGCATGAAGGTTATACTACTTTTAAAATGGACTCACCACCCGATGTTCTAGATTTAATATTTTCTGTCATTTGATGTTCAGTTTCAATTATTTCAGGATTAAAATTTGCTCCTTTAAAGATTTCCCTGGTTTAGTATTCTAATACACTGCTGCCCAAGAGAACCATAAGAAGGTGTTTTACAGTACTTCATCTAATTAAATCAGATCTTGATTGGATCTAGTTCTCTGTGATAAGAATCCCACAAGGAATGGCCTCAGCGGTGACAGTGTGACTTTCATCTGTGCCAAAATTTGAGTGAGTTTGTTCCTTTGTTTCACATATTATAAATTTCACTCATTTGTTGTTTAATTAACAATGTTATTAGTAACTCAGACTGTATACTGTAAATGGTTAATTATTCAGTATTCAGTATTCAGTATTGAGGGGGTGGGTTTCCCCATGCACTTAGACCAGTTATTGGTCCATTGTGCGTCCCCTTTTTAATTTCTACTGTCTCCATACCCTACTGGTACTGGTGCTTACTATCAGCCCCTTTCTGCCAGCGAGGTTCCAACCTTCTACTGGCAGTGGTATCCAATAGTTAGTCCCTTTCTGTCAGAGAGGTCCCCCCTCCTCTGGCAGTGGTACCTAATACTTCCCCCATCTACCGGAGGCATTGGAAACTACTTTGGGCGGGAAACTTTTTGGCCAAATTTAGCTCAGAGGTCTCCTAGAGACATGAGGTTCTTTTACGTGCCGTAAATCTATGACACGGGACCCACGACTTAAAGTCCCTCCCGGAGGACTTGTTCCCTGAATTTTTCCGCCCTTAAAAATTCCACGACCTCCGCCAGGTTTGAACCTGCGTGCCTTGAGTCATGAGGTAGGAACATTACCCCTAGACTATGGAGGCCGCCAAATGGTTAATTAAGTGGAAAGGATATTGAAAGAAATGGTCATGGTCATATCTGAGATACAGTTCTGACATTTTTTGGAGAACTGAAGAAAACCACAAAAATTTCAGTCAAGTAATCAGTCTCTGGACCAAGATTTTAAATCTGGACCTTCTGAATAAAAATCAGAAGTGGAATCCACTCTACCAAAGCATTCAGTAAAAAGGAACACAACCTAATTTTAAAATCAGTGTTCATCTTTATAACCAGGCTATGACAGTAAGTCAGCTGTCTCTATGAAGTCTACGAGTATCAATTGCAGTTATAGGTAAGGACATACCTTTACAGGATTTACCGCCTGGTATGTGCCGTAGTTGTTCTGAGGTTGCTGCATTTTGTCCATCAGCATCTTCCACTGCTTCAACATCTGTTGAACCATTATCAACAGATTCCTCATCTTCAGGCATGTCTGTAGCTGGCGGTGGAGGAGGAGGGCCTCCTGGTGGTGGAGGAGGTCCACCTGGACCTCCTGGTGGTTGTGCTGGTCTGATGCTTTTGAAACATTCTCTCACTGTTTTCATGTTCATGATTTTTGGCATTTTCTTGCAGCACTGACCGACAAAAGAGAAACAGCAAATGTTGAGTCACACCATAATTAGGAGATTAAGTTAGTTGATTCTTGGAGAGTAATGGATCATATTGCACTGTAATTCTATTCACTCTTTTGTATATGTGCAGAACTTTCTCTCACATTCTGGATAAAGAACAATGATTGTTGATATGAAAACAAATTGCTGAGGAAAATGTTTGAATGAAACATGGAAGAAGTAATGAGGATAGAGAAAATTTCATAGTGAGTAGCTACATAATTCATACTTAAAAAAATATTTTTAGGATTACCAAATTATGGATGCTTCCATGGGTGGGACATATGGTACCAATGGGACTGAGGATATATGCATAGAAAGTTCCTGTAGGTTTACCAAAAGGAAATAATAATCACATGGAAAATATAGACTTAGATGGTAAGGTAATGTAAAATGGGTAATATAGAAAAATGATTAGACATGTGGAGTGAATTCATTTGGTTCTGGATGGGAACCAGTGAGGAACTTCTCTGAACACAGTAATGAACCTTTGAAATGCTGGGAATGTTTTGACTTGGTTGGCAAGTGTTAGCTTCTTGAGAAGGATCATATCCCAAGGGTTGGTTACATATAAAGAGAAGCTAATTGAGAATGTAAAAAACTGAAAAATGAGAAGCATCATTAGATAATGTTTTCTAGAATGTGGTACTATGCAGTTTCATATCTGCTGTGCCAATTTTCACAATAGAAGATCCATCAACCTTGATGATGGAGGTAGCAGGTTCCATCAGATAGCTGTAACTGTGTAGCAGATTATGAAGCATAACATCATGGAGGACAGTAATCTTTACTAATATTCATTGCTGTGAAGAACTGGAATATAAGTTAAGTAATTATGCTCCATCTAAAGAAGGAAAGAGTGAAACTGAAGATGGAATCACCAGGATTTCCAGAATGTTGATACCTGTCTACCTATAAACACAGCATCACATCCCAAAAGACATTAATCTTAATACTGTCATGTATTCAGGGCTGCGTGACTAATAGTAACGGGTTCTTGTTTGGATGATAGGATTTATTAACACTTTCTTTTACAATCACTCTTATTCAAAATCGATTATAAGAGCTCACAATCAATGTCTGCCAGTTCATTTCCTAGAAACGGTCTACATGTCACAATATTCACTGCTATTTCAGACCTATTCTATCTTACCTTGTTGACTTTAAAATGCATGTGTGATGGTGGCGGTGGTGGTAGTGGTGGTTGGTTTTCAGTTGTCTCATTTTCACTCTGTACCTGTCTCCTGAACCGCTCTGGTGCTGTTTCATATAGGGGCATGAGGCTTCGTAGGTGAGACACAACATGTTGTACATCTGATTCACGGACAGTGTCCTCAACAGCTGCAACCTGCATTAAAACAGATTAGTTACGACTGACCAATCAATACACATATTTGTCTAATTAGTTTTGTTTTTGTATCTTTGATGGGTATCTCGGAAGAAGAGTAAGATCTTATGTGCACTTATCATGTGATTGCTGACACATTAATTCTTTAAAGTAGAGGTGGTTATTAGATACAGCATCTGCTTCAACGTTAAAAGACTCTGAATTTTACCTACACGGTTTATTTATGTGCTTTGAAGAAAAGCTGTAGAACTATGTGGTAACATAGTTGATCGAGACACTATGTTACAAGCCGGAAGGCCGTGGGTTCGAATCCCGATGAGGTTATTGTCTTTTTTTTTATTTTACCTAATCTTTCCAGCCATACTATGGCCCAGGGTTGACTCAGCCTATAACAGAAACGAGTACCAGGAAACTTCCTGGGGGTAAAGGATGTCCAGCACATAAGGCTGACAACTTCACCGCTGATTAAATAGATAATGTAGGCAGCACCATAGTTCAAGCGGTTAGTCACTGGCTTCCCACCGCGGCGGTCCGGGTACGATCCCGGGTTTGGTCGAGTGGGATTTGTGGTGGACAAAGTGGCGTTGGGGTGGGTTTTATCCAAGTACTTCGGTTTCCCCAGCCAATCTTCATTCCACCAAATTCTCCATTGTCATAATCACCGGGGTAGGCTACAATAGGCCAATCAGTGGCCACCATGCTAAGTGGACCCAGTTGGACTCCACCCCCCACTAAGCGAATTAAAAAAAACGTAGATAATGTGGGACCCTCAGCGTCTCACAACCCTATGGGTCTTTACAGCCTGTTACAGGGATAGCTTTACCTTTACCTATCAGACTATATGGTATCACATAACAGAAGACTATAGTTCTAATACTCACCACCATAGGAACCTCAGATCTCACGATAAAAAATTTTGATTGTGTTTTTTATTTTTTATAACACCATGTAGTCTGACATATAGATGCCAGTGTTTGGCAGAAACTTGTTGCCCCCATGAACATGTGAAGATGTAGGCAGTATGTTTGTCCAAAGCACTGGTAAACACCTAAAGGCTATATACTATCACAGTGCAGAAAGCGGCAGCCTGACAATGTGAAATTGAATGCACTGATTTGCAGAAAGACTGAATCAAAATGTATTCCAGATAACATTGTTGCAATTTAGCATATTTAAATATAAATATAGGATACATGAGATAAGGACTTACAAGTAAAGATTTAAGACCATTAACTAATAAGGATGTAAGAAGTGGTTAATATTTTGTTAAAACATTGAACAAGTCTGCTACAGTACACTTTATTATATATTCATATTATTAATTTTCAGATATAATTATTAAAAACAAAATCTATTCTAGATATTATTATAAATTTTCCAACTTACAACCGTTAAGCATACCAGTAAACTGGCCCATGTAGAAAGCATCATGATGTTCTCTTTGAATTGCACAAAATAAATTCCGTTCTCCAGTTACAAGCAATTTTATATGGACTGTCATATAACCAAAATGGTAATAGCTACATACAACAAAAATATATGAAAAAGAAATTACATGCAGACAACACAAAACTATTTGGTCGTTAATTCTATTTTCTATTCAGAAAGATCACAATGTGAGATATAATTATGTTCACATCCTTTCATTCTTTGGCCATGTTCTTTGTGTGATATCCATGTGACTGGTTTCATAATATTTTTTTTTGTATTTTGCATTGTGTTTCTGGTGACTGCATCGATAGTTCTGTGCTGTCACTGTTATTATCTTGTCAGCTGCTAAAATACGACAAGCTAATTTTCGTTTCACTTGTTATTTGCCATCAACAGAGCTTTCTACATTCTCTCCTTCGAGTCCGATACATAGCGCCATGGCTCTACCTGTGTGAGCTCAATTATTTCATGAAATGCACTGCCCTATTTTTATTAAGAAGAATGTAGACTGTAAGGATGGGAGGTGGATGGAGCTGGCTCATGTCTATAACATGAATACTAGACAAAAATACAACTTCCACCTACCCTCATCAACTTTATCAGTATTTCAAAAAGGAGTCTACTTTACTGGCATAAAAGTGTTCAACAATCTGCCACAAAGTATTAAAAACTTGGGCAATGATACTAAAAAGTTTAAATCAGAGTTAAAGAATTATCTACATGCTCATTCCTTCTACTCTTTAGATGAATACTTCAATGTAAATAGAGAATGATGTAAAATTAAGTTATATTAATTTTTAAGCTAAAATTGCCTGTACTTATGTATGTAACATTTTGACTTGTTCTGTATCCAAAGGTACTAACCTGCTTAGGATTTATAGAATGTAAATAAATTCAATTCAATTCAATTCAGGATCATATTCAATGACAATGTTGAATTGATTTGTCAGTTAGTAAAAAAAAATATAAAATAAAATTATGTTGGAAACTGTCAGTTGTCTTAGTTAAATTTAATATTATACGACGTTTCGGAGACTAGCTTTGCCTAAGAGGCCCAACTGAATAACATCTTTCCCATTTTTATACCTGAGGATAGAAGCACATTTCACTTCTGAAACGTCTTATAATGTTACATTAGTTAAGAAAATGGAAATATCCAACATAATTTATCGTTAATAACAGAATACTGTCAAAAACCTATACAGAATAAGTAAGGTGGGAAACAGTTGTGACGATGGGAGTGGATGCAACTGGCTCAGGATAGTGTCCAGTGGTGGGCTTTGGTATTAGAGGCGTTGAACCTTCGGGTTCTGTTACCAGAGAGTTAGTTAATTTGTAAGATGGATCTTAGAGAAACAGTTATGAGGATGGGAGCTGGATGGAACTGGCTCAGGGGCGTGACCAGTGGCAGGCTTTGGTATTAGAGGCGTTGAACCTTCGGGTTCTGTTACATGAGAGTTAGTTAATTAATAAGATGGATCTTAGGGAAAGAGGTTGTGAGGATGGGAGGTGGATGGAACTGACTCAGGATCGTGTCTAGTTGGGGGCAAAAATGTTACAAAAAGCCCCGATTAGCTTCATCATGTTTGTTTTGTTCATACGTAACAGCCCGAGAAGTGCTGAAGAGATTTGTTCCCTTTTTGTTCGTGGGAGTATGTGTGCAGGGAGGAGTTTTACTTAAACTTTCCGACCAATTCCAATTCATATTAAAATCAAATATAAATAATAAATATTTTGTATATGTGTTATATAGACACCTCCGTAGGTAGGTATCGACACCTACGCGCGTGTTTAAATGCAACTTCATATATACATCGGAGCTAAAAACATTTTAGAATGAAAGTTTCAGAGAAACTGCACGTTGTCGTACGTTTTTCGGTTTCCGAGATAATTAAAAATACAACTCCCCGGAACTGTTAGGCTATGCGAATATTTTCTGACTTGTTGTCATGGTAACTGCACGATCCTTCGCCACGTTTTCACGAAACCGGACAAGATGTCTCTTGCTTATAATAGAGGCCTTTGCTGGGCAAGATATGTAGTCCCAATACATGCCTTGAAAGAAGTCCAGGAGGTGTAATACAGAGAAATTTTTATGGATTATTATCGGGGAATGTCTCACTGAAACGTCTATAATCGCTGCCGTCGTCAGGGGTGAGCGCCCCCCGATTCGTATTCGGAAGGACCCCAGTTCCGTTCTCGGCCCTCAGACCGGCTATCCTGCCTTAAATCCTTAGTGGTCCCTTTGAATTCCTTGAGACGGATGTTGGGACAGTACTTCAAGTTAGGACAAATTACGTCATATCCACTTCCTTCCATAGATTTCCCTGTCCATTATTTACTAATCACCTCTACTTTGCACAGAGCACAGCGAGGACATTGCAGAATTGTAACACTTTTGGTGACAATTTCGTATGGATAATTTTGTGACGCTGTCAGCATCTCAGATAATACGTGTATACTATAGAATGATAGGATGAGTGGTGAATAATGAATTGGAAAGGATTTAGAAGGAAGTGGCCATGGCCTACACTAACCCGGGACTTGGCTGGAAGGACTGGGGAAGACCACAGAAACCTCAAATATGATAGCCGATATCCTAGCCGAGATTCGAACAGATCACTTCCCGCTGCACCAGCCTGCCAGATGGCATCCTCTCTTCATAAAAACATTGCTGGGAAATTAATCCGAGGGTAGAATAATTTTGCCTTACTGATGCGTCACGTTACTTCACGACAGTTTAAATTTATTATGAAAAAAATGTTTCTTGTTAAGTGATAAAATCATGTTTGGTAGCCATTGTGTCATTGCGCAGTGTCATTTGCTTTCGTTTATCCTGATCACCAAGCCAGAATGACGTATCATAATGGGACAGGCAATTTCTCTGTGGAGTTCCCCTTTTATTAAATTGCTTTAAATCAACTTTCTCTGTGCATGACAACTAATTGTAGTGTCCATGTTGCTGATAAAGTAACTCCGAGCTATCGTTCCATACGCGAGCATCGAACCGTGAACAGTTTAGTTCCGATGGGGAAAGCGAGATCTGGAAACATAAAAAAGAATATTTCATTGCAAATTCCAGGATTCCCCATGATGAAGAACAGATTTTTCAGAATATAGAATAAAGGTAAAGCTATCCCTGTAACAGGCCGTGGAAGCTGATAGGGTTATGAGACGTCGAGGCTCCCACATTTTCTAGATAATCGGCTCACAGATGTCGGTGATGTCAGCCTTACCCGCCGGCCGCCTTTTACCCCCAAGAATATTCCTGGTACTCATTTTTGTTAGAGGCTGCGTCGACATAGTGCGGCTGGAAGGATTAGGTAAATTGAAAAATCACAATGACATCATCGGGGATCGAACACGCGATCTTTCGGCTTGTAGTTTAGTGCCTCAACCAACTACGCTGAAAATGTCGCAGGTCTACATCACACCTACCTACGTCTCGGAGGGAAGTCCTGTTGTCTCTATCTTCATTGTGAAATAAGCCGGACAAGCGGCTGCTAACAATGTTAATGTAGCAGACTGCGTGACGTCACGCCCCCAAAGCGAGTACTGTTCAGTAGCAAGTTGTGAAACCCTGACCCATAGCATTACTGAACACCGCGCAGTTAGCTCCCACGTTTACGAAGCCTGTGTGTGGGTATTTGTTCCTTCATTTATACCCCACGCTTCCGATGGGAATGAGAATATGGGTAATCTGCAGGATCCCACAGGACTCGGCTCTGTGCTCAACGGGTTCCTAAGAAGTTGGTGCCTTATCTATTTACGAGAAAGATGAGAAACGGAAGCCATGATTTTAATTACACGTTCTCACAGCTGTGATTATAAAGAATACAGGTATTCCTTGTTATATAATGCTATTTCATTTTAATGCGATCAGCTAATTCAGACCGGTTTTAATTAATAGCACTCACTTTAATGCGAACTGCTTGCTGACAAATAGTAAGAGGGGGGGGGGCGAATGGACTATTGTTTTTTTGTTTGTTTGTTTGTTTGTTGAGGAGGAATGCCAGGGGAGAAGGGACAATTGTGTTCTATTGATGCTATTTCACCCTCTACTAAGTTGAGCAATACCTGTACTCTCTTCTGGTATGTGACAGCATTAGTTAGGTGCAAGTTTATTGACGTTTCGAAGGAATATACTGCCTCCATGTTCGGTGTCGAAAAGTAGGTAATCCAAGCATGCAACCAGCACGATGTACGCAGCAAGCAGAGCTCGCTTGCTCTCTCTATCTTTCGCTATAAGTAATGCGGCCGGGACGTAAAGCTGTCCACTCACCCCCATCAACCGCCGACGTTGAGAATACGTGAACGATATTTACATTCATACATATATCTTAACGGCCGGTCACGGTAGCCGAGCGGTCTAAGGCATGCACTGTCTTCGCTCGCTTGGAAACCGGGATCGTGGGTTCGAATCCCACTCAGGGCATGGATGTTTAGTTTGTGTGTGTGTGCGTTTTTCTGTGTTTGTGTACAGGTAGAGGCCTTGCGACGAGCTGATCACCCGCCCAAGGAGTCCTACCGAATGTGTAAGATCGAGAAAAACCGAAGTGAACGGAGAAGTTCATGTAGGTAGGCCTAGGCCCACTGGGGCTGTAGTGCCAAGGAAAAAAAAATATATATATCTTAACGGCATGGTGCCTTGAAAACTTTGCTTTTACGTTCATGAGGTCTATAAACAATAAGCAAGGGTTTGAGTCGGGATAGCACGGTCGGTACAGGGACTGGCTACGGGCTGGACGTCAAAGAATTGGGAGTCTTGAGTCCCGGCAAGAGTTTTTTCTTCTCCAAGTCGCTTAGACCGGTTCTGGGGCTCAGCCAGCCTCCTATACGATAGGTA